GTCCGGAAGGTAGATCGACTTTGCAGCCGCGGTAGTCCGTATCGCAACCTGTGCAAGTCCGGGAATTAAATCCCTCGAACCCAAGTCTTCAACCCGAAACCCTTAAACCCCTAAACCCGACACGTAAACCCTAGTTAAGTTCATTACCCCAGGCCCTGGTCCTGGTCCTGGACCACAACACCACACACCGTATCCGAAATTCAGGCCGTCGAATTGGGTCGATTGGTTTTGAAGATACAGCTAATGTAGCAGATACTCGTTCATTCAAGATACGGACCCTAGACAAAAGGAGCCCCTAAGGCCTCAAAAGAACCCTTGAAGGAGCTCTTGAAGTCTTTGAAGAACCCGAAACGAAGGGATCCCCGTCGCAACCTTAAGTGCACTCCGCAATGGAGTCTCTGGTTCCCAAACAATTCCCGGAAGCCCACCGAAGCTCCCAAAAACGGCCTCCGACATTCTCGAAGGGAAGAATTTCTGCCTGATCTAAAGTTTACAAGGCTTAGGGTATTTACGGTATCGGGTTTAGGGCCCAAAATTCAGGGCTTGAAGTTTCAAGTTACCATTGTTGGTTTTTGCCTTTGAATGGAAGGAATTCAAGGTTTAGGGTTTTGGGCCGGATACCCGGGCCCCTACAACTTCGGGAGACGTATCTATGGTGCTTAAAAGATCATGGGACGGACAACTTAAAAAGGGTTGTCATTGCAAGTAACTATAACGGCACCTTGAAGCGGCATACAACCCCACAAAAGGTCCTTATAGCCGTGCGTGCTTCGTACAACTGCCCGCGAACCTCCATGCAATGGTTCAATACACCCGTCACTACACTACTACAATGTCGGGTCGCTTCGCTCCACAGAAATGCACACAAACATTTCCGAAGAAGCATCATATACGCACATGTTTTAAGTCACGTAGGCATTTTTTGCTGATCTGGCCTGGCTAACTGACTGACTGAGCAGCTACCTACCTCCCTCCCCCGTCCAAGTACCGACCTGCCCACCGCCCACCCCCACCCAACCACTCAACTAACTGGCTGGCTACACTCACTCAATCCTGGACTGACGGACTGACTGACTGACTGCCTGGCTGGCTGGCTCGCTGGCAACTGGCTGGCTGGCTGGCTGGCTGACCGACCAATCAATCAACCAACCGACCAACCAACCAACCAACCAGGTAACGAAAGAAGTAGCGAACCAGATATTTTGCAAATCAGGTATATTGCAAATGTATGTAAAATTATACTCACAACCTACGTGTAACAGGGAGCTGGAAGCAAAACCTCCACAGCATTCTCCGCTATCCACGGTTCTGTCTGCCCACTCTGCCGACAGGTACCACTATGGGCACCTTTCCACAGCCAGAAGAAATAACTGTACATGAAAGTGTGGCTCACTCCAAGCATGTGGACGTGTCTGGTTGCTTGAAAGAGTGCTCGGGAATCTAAAGCGCCTGTATGACTGTTGACAATGTAAAAAAACACTTAACCGTGCTTAAGGGCATCATACTTCGCCAGATCTGGCGCGGGGACATCCTGCAGTGGACATTCTGGACAGTTCGCAAAACACTTCACCAAAACCGAAGATCTCGCCAAGAACCTTTGCTCATCGGGGTTTCCAGAACAAGATCCCCCGGATAGCGAGAACTGGTATCTCATCCGGTCTTCCCCGCACTGCCTGGCCCAAGGACGCACCAAGTCCAAAATCTGGCTTGAAGGGCCATTACAAGTCAGAAAGCTGGCCAACCACCGTTCTTCCCTGCACACAATGTCACCCTTGACACATGTCTGGAAAAAACCTTTGCTATGGCGCTTTTCGCTCGAAGGCTTCAGCTCCAATCTTGTGCACCACGTAAAATAAGATTAGAATGAAAGCAACTGAGATAATGAAACCGGCATTTGTGTTTGGTACAGCTCTTTACATAGCATATTGGCATAAGAAATACCATTCTGGCACTATACGTACAGGAATAAGCAATCCACATGCTTCGAATGCCTTACCTGGATGTCAGAAAGAAGAGAAGCCGAAATGAATTTGAAGAGGTATAGATAGAGAATCAATAGCTTTCCATAGAAATCTTTACTAATGAAGAAAGGAAAAGCTTGTCGTATTATTAATGGAATTCCGTAAAAGATGGTTAGAAGATAGAAAGTGCAGGTGTAAACCTGGAAATAGAAATGAAAGACACGGAACCTCGTTAACGTTGGATCGTATATATACATATATATATATGTAGAATGTCCTTCACAAAGCGATTCTACTCAAGATGGAAATGGAGCTAATGAATGTATAGTTACTGTACCTCCTCATAAACTCATTTTCCTAGAGATAAGGCATAACCCACAGATGCTTTTCCCACTAAGAAGAAGTAGATATCAATTCAGAAAACCAAGTTTTGGGATTGTAAAATTCTGAAGCATAAGGCGTAGCTCTTCCAAGATGTAGCATCCATGCACTAACTCTTTAGTCAAAAATCATCGAGAAAACAACTGAAATAATGCCTGATGCATCATGCAAACCTAAGAAGATTCCTGTACTGACTCGTAATCAATAGCAGTTCCTAATGAAAAAACCATTTTCCAGAAACTGTTTAAAAGATCAATCAGAATATGACTGCAAATGAGATTTCAGGAGTAAGAAAGAAGAAAATAGCGGCTGCGTGTCGCTTGTTCAAAGTCAGGCTACGGCGGGAACTGATTCCGCACTGAAGAGACAAAGCTTGCCAACAGACCTGACTCTGTGCCAGCATACCGGCTCGTGATGGTGTCCAGCTTGGAGCGCTGTTCTGGCAAAGCAGAAGCACGAACTTGCGAGGCGACCTGGATACATGACATTTGCTTCCTTTCAACACGGTCGACGGTTGGCATCACAACGTGGCGGCAGAATCCTGCCTCGTCGAGATCAGCATTACCGACATCCGCCGACCTCTTGGGCCAATGAACGCAGCTCCCCGCAAGCGCGACGCTTTCGGTTCCTGTGTGACACTCTTCGTCGCCATCCCGCAGCATCAAAACGGAAGCTTTCACAACTTGGGCCCAGTTCAATCTGCTTCCTCGTGAACGAGAACATCGCACGTGCGCGCACGCACTGTTCCGCGCTGGTGTTCCGCACGCAATGTTCGGCGCTGAATGCGAACCTACGATGTAGCCCCTTGCAAGCTCTCGGCTGGAAAAAGCCCCGAGAGCAATGCCCAGGCCCTTCAAAGCTCCAAAACCACGTCTGCTGCTTTCACTTTGGCTCCAAGCCTTCCCGAACTGTTCTGACTGCCGTCACCTTGATTCCAAGCCTTCCATAACCCCGTCTGCTGCTCCCACTTTAAGGTCCGGACACAGCAAAACCACGTCTGCTGCTTTCACTTTGCAGCCACTGCATCCGAAAGCAAGCTGCGCAAAACTGTGTTGGCCGATCTCAACATTGCGTCACTCAGACTGACAGAAGATGGCCCGGTGTAATAGTGCATACCTATGTGCATATGTACTTGCAGGGTCATGGGTAGTTACAAGAAGGGTTTTAAGTTGGGTAACTTTACTTATAACCCATATTCGGAACCCTACTTATAACTACCCTGAACCTCCAAGTAACGGTATGTATGTACGTATGTAGTTCTGTACATAGGTGAGGATGTATCCGTGCTTCAACCCTAAAATCTCAAAACTGCCCCAGCCCTAAACCTTAAACCCCAAACCCTAAATTTCCTAAATGACCCCAAACTCTAAACCCTAAACCCTAACTAACCCAACCTCAAACCCCAGATAACCCTAAACAGCACCCTAAACCGCAAACCTTGAAATCTAAATAACCCCAAACCCAACTCTACAAAAGCCTTGAAAAAACCCTAAACCGCAAACCCGAAACCCTAAACCCCCAAAACTTGATGCAAGTCCCGGCTGCCATGGCTCGGATGGTAACTTCCTCGTAGCCTCCGAAGAATAGGTTCCGACACCTCGGCTCAGCGGGGACTTCGGGGTTTTGGGGTTTGGGGCTCAGGGATCGGACAAAAGGCCCCGAAACTCCAATACCCCTTCATTAAGGAATATACATTCAATCATATTAGGGATCCTACTATAACTTCAGGTATATTCCTTAATTAAGGCATATTGCAGTCTCTGGGGGGTTTAGGGCTGAGGGTTCCTCAAAGGGCCGCTACAAGGGTTACGCCAGATCAGCTTTCGGATTTTTTGCCACCAGAGTATGGGTTTTTGGGTTCAAGGCTTTGGGGATTTAGGGTTGTGGTGAGTTGGGGATTCAGGGTTGTGGGTTTAGGGTTTAGGGTTTAGGGTTTAGGGACCCTAAACCCTAAACCCTAAACCCTACGTTTTCCAGTTTCGGGTTCAAGTTCCGGCATGTTGGGTTTAGCGTCCCGAAGTTTAGGGTTTCATGGTTCCGGATGCAGGTTTCAGCGTTCTGATCCTCAGCTAGAAGCGTCTGCGGTTTCCGGGCTTCCGGTGTCTCCCACAAAGGTTCTATCCCTTAACGCCCTGGTATTATGGGCTAGGAGTTGGGATCGAGCAGTTCAGGGGTCTGGGATACCCAGTAACCTAAGAATAAAAAGGCCTCTCTTTTTGGTATTGGGTAACTTTATAAGGAACCTAGGACTACAAAAAGGTAATAAGGGTACTACTGGGCATCCTAGGGTCTGGGGTCGAGGGGGTGTCGGAGGCAGGAATCAGGGTGTAGAGTTTAGGGTTCTTAGAACCCTACGAAACTGACACTTCGCCATGTTAGGGTGTGGGGCTTGGGGTTAGATACTGCTCTGGAATCAGTTCCGGTGAGGTGGGGTTTCGCAACAAACCCTAAACCCTTAAACTTGGAAACCCTAAAGCCCTTAGCCCTAAACCCTCAAACCCTCAACCCTGGAAACCCCTAACCCTGAAGCCCTTATAGATCCCTTTTTGAACCTTTATAGAACCCTTATAGATCCCTTATAGATCTCTTATAGAGTCCTTGTCGATCCCTTAAAGGAACCCTTAAAGCGCCCAAGGCACTGGTCCCTCACCATCTTCACGGGGGCTGTATCCTCCTTCGAGCAGCCGTTCTGGCTCGCCTCTTCAGGTCGGCGTTGAAGGTTTGGAGCTTAGGGTTTGGGGGCTTAGGGGTTTAGGGGTTTAGGATTTGGGGGCCTTAGGGCTTAGGGTTTAGGGGTAGTTTAGAGTTTTGAGCTTAGGATTAGGGCTTAGGGTTTAGGGTTTAGGGGTAGTTTGGAGGTTTGGAGCTTAGGATTTGGGGGCTTAGGGCTTAGGGTTTAGGGTTTACGGGTTCGGGTTTAATTAGGGTGTAGGAAGTTTCGTGTTTTTAGTTTTAGGGTCTAGGAAGATTCTTGTTTAGGAGTGTAGGGTGGTGAAGGTTTAAGCCCTTTAAGGCTTAAGGTAAGAGCAGAAGCGATGCCAATGACAGCACCAGCAGCACAACCGCCACGACGACGGATTCCCTACAGCCCTCTTCCCAAATTTAAAGCCGCGCAGCCTGGGCTTAGGGACCCAAAAAGCACATAAGCAGAAGCATCTTATAGGGATACATCCCTACCTTATTGGGCTTCATTACAAGGGGATTTCTATGGGATATCCCTATCCTAATCTTTGCTTATGTGCTTTTTTGGGGTTCTATGGGCTCAAGGTCTTGGCCCGGGGCTTCGGGCGGACTTACTTGTCGATTATGCTAGGAGAACCCAGAGATCCCAATACCCCTTAATTAAGGAATATACCTTAAATCATAGTAGTAAGGCCCCAATTATGTAAGGTATATTCCTTAATTAAGGGGTATTGGGTTCTCTGGGAACTACAGGAAAACCTGTGGGAGTGTATAGGGGGTATGGTACCCGAAAATCGTTAATGCTTACCTGCCCTGCTAACCTAAACCCTTAACCCTAAACCCTAAACCCCAAACCTAAACCCTAAACCCTAAACCCCAAACCCCTAAACCCCTAAATCCCGAAACCCTAACTATCGGAGCCCTACTTTCGGAAAAAAGGGGACCCTGATATAGTATAGTACCCTAAATAGTAGGACAGTAGGATCCTTTTTGTAAGGACCCCAAAATCAAGGCACCCCAATTCTCGCAAAGACGAACTGCCCCGCCTGGTAGGTCGTGTTGTGAGAAAGATCGCCTGCGACGCACGCCGACAACAAGATCACAGGAGGCGTCGAGGCCTTTGAGGGTTCCTTTGAGGGTTCTACAAGGGATCTATAAGGGTCTAGGGTTTAGGGACTTAGGGGTTTAGGGTTGAGGGGTTTAGGGTTTAAGGCTTCAGGGCTAAGGGTTTAGGGTTTACCCGGAGAACAGAATACCCTTTAATTCAGGGGTTTAAGGTATATTCCTTAATTAAGGTGTATTGGGATCTCTGGGCTTCTTCCTAAACCAGGACAAGGGTTCAGGATTTTGGGGCACAGCAACCACCCCCTCCTGCAAATAGATTTAGGGCATTTAGGGCTTTAGGGTTTAGGGCTTAGCCTGAAAGCCCCAGACCTGAACCCTAAAATGCTGAAACGCTGAGGCTCTGCCCTAAACCCTAAACCCCAAACCCTAACCCCAAAAGCCCTCAGCCTGACCTCTGCAAGCCGAGGTACTCAAATAGCAGCCCCGAATACGGCCAAAGACCCCGCGGATGTAGCGAAGGCCGTAGTCCTGGTTGAGGTTTATGAAGGCATCATCGGGTTTGTGCTATGAGCATGCTGAGACTCTAAGATGCTTGAATAAGCCCAGAGATCCCAATACCCCTTAATTAAGGAATATACCTTAAATCATAATATAAAGGCCCCTATTACTTAAGGTACATTCCTTAATTAAGGGGTATTGGCTTCTCTGGGAGGGTTTAGAGAAAGGGTCAAGAAAGGCTTTGAGAATGTTGGGCTCCGGCTCTCGGTTTTAGGATTTGTGGCTTAGGAGACTTTGGCTCAAGGCTCGGATAAGGGACTTGAGGTCGTCCTTGACTGCCTCTTCTCTTCACTACAACATGGTTTCGAATGTCGCGATTACCCAGAGATCCCAATACCCCTTAATTAAGGAATATACGTTAAGTTATATTAGGGATCCCACTATAATTTAAGGTATGTTCCTTAATTAAGGGGTATTTGGGATCTCTGGGTAGAGCTTCAGGATTTCAGGCTTTCGAGTTGTTCAGAGACAAACTTCTGGTGTGAACGGACAGCGCACTTGGCTTGTCGTTCTCCGGAACTCTTCTATTAGGCTGCGACTCTCTGTGATCTGCGAAGGCTTAAAACACTGAGATCTGACGTTTCATTTACAGGCGCTATCAGGGTTTCTACACAGTGGACCCGTATTATGGATTTAAGGCCCCAGGTTTGGGATTGGTGTTTACCTTAGCTGCTCAGACGACGTAGCAGGTATGTTCTGTTATGCGCACGGTTAGAAGAACCCTAACTGGGCTTGTCCGCTTTGACTTATGACTTTAAGTAGAGCCGACTTACAACGTTCCGTGAACCTTCGATTACATACCCGTGCAGAACCCTCAACAAATCTTATAGAACCCTGTAAACTCCCCCGTAAAGCCCTGTAAAGCCCATACAACCCCATGAAATGCTATAAACCCCTCATAACGCCTTCACAAAAAACCCATGCAACTCCGTGGGGCTTAGGATCAGCCCACCTCGGCATACTTCCTCGGCTGCCAAATGAAGAGCCCGTCGCAGTTCCTCTCAAAACCCGAACCCTGAAGTGGGAAGCTTCAGGGATTAGGGTTTCAGGGTTTAGGGTTGGGAATTTGGGTTGAGGGCATAGGGTTTAAGGGTTTGAGTTAGGGCTAAGGGTTCAGCGTCGTGGGTGTTGGGATTTAGCCAATGCCTTAAGACACAGCTGAGGGTCTGGGGACTAAATCGATGAGACCTAATTACTCTTGCAAGTCGAAACTACCAAGTTACAACCCACACATGTTTGCATGCACACACGTATGCATTTAGGTATGCATGTATACATGTATGCGTGTACGCAAGTATGTATGCAGGTCTTTATGTCTCTGCATGCATGAATGTTTGATGCATTAGCACCTCTCTCTATCTACCTCTCCATCGATCTATCTATCTACCTGTCTATCTACTTACCTACCTGAATGCCTGCAGTATCTATTCCATCTGTCTAATCTGTTTCTCTACCAAAACACCTGTAAGTAGAGATATAGATATACAGACACGGATACAGATGTAGATATGGACGTAGACATAGGCAAAGATATAGGTGTGGATACAGATAGAGATCTAGATATAGAGATTTAGATCTAGATACAGATACAGAATTAGAGGTGGATTCAGATTTAGATACAGGTATCGATATAGACATATACATACATACATATATACAACTACATATATAAATACATCCAGATACAGATACGGATCTGGAATCTAGGTATGGCCGTAGATACTGATATTGATATAAGTCTGTGTGTGACTTCGTATGTGCACAGATATGTATATACGATTATATATGCATACACATGCGTTCGTTTGTTCAGTCAGTCAGTCGGTCGGTCAGTCTGTCAGTCAGTCACCCGTCCGTCCGTCCGTCAGTCAGTCAGTCAGTCAATCAGGCAGGCAGGCAGACGGACAGACAAGTAAGCGATGCCAGAGGGACGTTCTGACTGTGAGGGCATGGACGAGGTGGGGACTCACCCTGCGACTCACGACGATTTCACCACAGGTTCCGGAAGCTATCCAAGAGCTCGGGGTTTGGGGTTTAAGCTGAACCCCAAAAGTATGTAGAATAATAGCCTTTTGTAGGCTTTGGGCCATTATTTTACCTACTTTTGGGGGTCTAGGTAGGCTGAAGGGCTTGAAGCTTCAGGGCCGTTTGGCTTGCTGCTGGGGGAGACCTTGCCTAAATCCGAAAACTCCTCTTGGGTGAACACCCAGAGAACCCAATACTCCTTAATTCAGGAAAATACCTTAAATAATAGGGCCCTTAATATTATGATTTAAGGTATATTCCTTAATTAAACGGGTATTGGGATCTCCGGGCAGCGAAAGCCCCCCCCCCCCCCCCCGCGCGGTCCCTGACTCAAGCACGGCGCTCTGGAAGAAGCCCCGACTCGTTGGAGAGGCCAGATGTGCACCTGTCTCGTCTTGAAAAGGGAAAGGTCCCTTTGGGGGCCCGAACCTCTCTCCGGGTTGCTAAAAGCCCTAACCCCCAAACCCTAACTCCTAAGCCCTAAACCCCTAACCCCTAAACCCTGCGCAAACGGTTTGGGATTTGGGGAACTTGATGGCTGGCGTGCATCGTGTGATCAGTTCGGGCCTGGGGGGGGTAGAAACACTACTTGCAATAATCCCTGAACCCGAACCCCTACGGCCCAAACCCTAAACCGTAGGCCCAGAGCCCTAAGCCCTAAATTAGCAAAACTAGCAACAACTATGTCCACCAATAAGCTTATCAGTAAGCGATAGTAGAATGAGACTGATGTACTGAAATGATAGCCTTACTATACTAGCAATAATTGTCATAACAACGATACACAAAAAAACTACAGGAACTATGTCTGCCAGTTTTATTGTTGTCGTAGCGGCAGAGAACTTCGTGCGGCCAAGGAACAGATCGACATGGCTCCGGCAGATTCCCCGGCAAGCGTGACGCGGCTCGGGTCGCCACCGAAGGCAGCGATATTCCTGGGGTTTAACCCTGCCGGGGTTTAGGTTAGGGTCTGTAGGGTTTCTGGTTTAGGGTGCTTAAGATCTTACCCTCACAATCCAAGTACTCCTTATTATAGGCCTTTGGGGCCTTTGTGGGTACCAAAAACCCACAAGTAGGGACTACTTGGACCCTTGGGGTTAGGGTTTCGGATTTAGAAGTAGGCCTTTAGGGTTTAGATGTTGGTCTTCAGGGTTTAGGGCAGTTCATGGCTTGCGGGTGAGGCCTGATTTCGCGGTTCGCGGCATATTGTAAACAGAAGGTTCGGTGTTCGAAACTGAAAGCTTTTGGGCCATGAAGAGCACAAGCCATGACAAACTTGAGGGCTTTGGAAGCAGGACTTGACATTTGAGGCGGCTCTTGCTTGCTAATGCTACCATCAGCACAACAATCTTGATGCCTCATTTTCGGTGTCGCCGGCAGCCTGCTCACCCCTATCTATGACCATCATCGTCGCATTCCTGTTCTATCAAGACCACTCTTCTCACACAAGAAGTGCAGTATCATGACAAATGATACAGGCGCTACAATCATGACAATTCCCTATTTTCGCCGTTTGTGCCATCCATGCTATTTTCTGAGTCTCCGCCGTAGTAACATTACGCCTGTAGCTTCAGTCGTATTCCACTTGTTCGTGCAGTTTCTGTGGTTATAACATTCTGTAGCCATTGCTACCCTTATCGTCAACTCCAACGTACACATGAGTTCGGAGACCCTCCCCACCGAATCCAGCAAACGACGCCTCAGCCAAAAAAATGAACAGCGCTTCCCGCAGATAAGTCACGTCTGCACCCACTGCAGGGCCTGGAAGCTTTCACTATTGCCATGTGGACACATTAGGGAGTCATTTCGTGGGATTTTGGCTCGGCATCCCGTCAACGCGTATTCGTGTCCCCTGGCCTTCTTGCATGGCGACAGTCAGCATAAGCATCAGGAACACAGCGATGACAGTGATCATGAGGGGATAATGGTTGCGGCGACGATGACCGCGTCTGCGAGTACATTGACGGTGTCTCTGAAAGTGGTAGTGGTGGTGGTCGTGGTGGTAGTAGTAGTAGTGGTGGTGGTGGTGGTGGTGGTGGTGGTGGTGGTGGTGGTGGTGGTGGTGGTGGTGGTGGTGGTCGTGGTGGTGGTGGTAGCATACTCGGAGACACGGAGCCACCCTTGAAAACTCCCCAAACAAAAAGCACTCAGCAAGAAGTTATGCACATCGAGTCTACGGCGCTAGGCTTCGCTATGCTGCGCTCGCGCGCTGCCTGGAGCTGATCGCGCAGACCGAAGTTGGCCAGCAGCTCACCCGCCTGGCGTTCTTTAGGGCTTCTACATGGAGGTTCATGGTTCTTAGTAACTAGGGTTATAAATAATGTAACTATACTTATAGTTGGTTATATCCCCAGTTAAGGTACTTATAATTGTACTTACTAAGTCCCATGAACCTCCAAGTAGACCCTAAACCCTAAACCCCAAAGATCCCTTTTAAAAGAACCCTATAGATCAATGATCCCTTTAAGGAGCCCTTTAAGGAGCCCTTTAGATGCCTTGCTTGCAGAGCTGGAATTGAAACGAGGCCTCCTTCATCGTAGGGAGACCCTCACATGCCCAAAACTCCAGATCTCCAAACTCAAACTCCCGTCTTGAAAGCTGCTAAGCCCCTAAACCCTAAACCCCTAAACCCTAAACCCCTGAACCCCAAACCCCTATGTTCGTTGTGGTGCTGCAGAAAACTCTTAAGATTCTAGGAAGGGTTTAGAGCGTTAGGCATGTCAGCGGCGGAAGGAGGGCTTTGTCCCAAAGGGGGTGAGATTTAGGATAATTTAAGCTATCAGGTGTCACATCTTTTTTCTGGTCTGAGATTCCGGTGTTTCTTGTAGCCGCGGTAGAAGAAAGTAGGTTGTGACCCAGAAGATATCACCCTGTAGAAAATAGTTAGCTGTAGGCAGAGCTTACAATGACGTTTTGGTCAGAGGAAGTCGTTCTTGGGTGTCAGCCATGTTCGACAGCCACAATTATAGACGCCTTACTACATTGGATTGAGGTTTCAGGCATAATTATAGTACGGCTATATAGTACATATGGGAGTTTCCGAGAATAGGGGACGCAAATATAGTACCCCTCACTAGTAGGACCCTGATTATAAGGACCCCACAATAAGGTACCCCAACTTTCGGAAACTCCCAAAAATGGGACTCATGGGACGGTATTACCCAGTGTTCGGGCCCTGTACTCTGCGTCCCTGGCTCAACCTTGAGGACATACCCACCGGAAATCCTCAAGCCCGAAACTTAGGGCTTAGGGTTGAGGGTTTAGGGGAACGCTTCAAATTCCCACCCAAGTGTGCTTCAAGTTATGAAGGATTTCCCTCAAGGCCAACCCTACAAGCTTTGGGCGTTGAGGGTTTGAGGCTGAGCGGCTTTGAGGTTTAGGGCTTAGTAAGTAGTGTTATAAGTCCCCTTATATGGGTTATAAGTATAGTTGCCCTAATTATAGCCCTAGTTACCCCATGATCCTTCAAGTAGACCCTAACCCCTAAACCCCATAGATCCCATTAAGGAACCCTATAGATCCCTTTAAAGAGCCCTTTAAGGAGCCCTGGTTACTAAGTCCCACGATCCTTTAAGTAGACTAGGGGGTTCAACACTTTCAGGCTAAGCTCTGGAGACTTAGCAAGTCGCGTGACATCGTTTCCTGATCACAAAAGGGTTTAGGGTTTAGGGTTTAGGGGTTAGGGGTTAGGGGTTAGGGTTTAGGGGTTAGGGATTAGGGTTTAGGGTTTAGGGTTTAGGGATTAGGGGTTAGGGTCTAGGGTTTAGGGTTTAGGGTTTTCAAAAGGCCCTTCTCCTTTTCGGAAATAGCTTGCCAAATGTCAAAGGGAGAGAGCTTTCAGTCAGACGTCTACATGGGCGGTTGTCAAAATTAGGGTCCCTGTTTGGGTCCTTATTCTAATACGGCACCTAACATTTATGTAGGGGTTGTCAAAATTAGGGTCCCTTTTTGGGTCCTTATTATAATGCGGCACCTAATATTTATGTAGGGTACCCAAAAAGGGACCATAAAATTGACTACCACCCTCGCCCTAACCCCGCACCTCGTTCTTCAGGTACGGGTGATGCAACCAGCCGAACACACCCAGCCTCCAGAGAAACACTTTGTCATTGAGGAGGCTCCAACTACCATAGGGACCTAAATAATTACTATACTTATAGTATACATAATGGGCCCCAAGACCCTATTCTCATTATTCTGGCCCCTATATTATAGAACCCTACTGTAGATCCCTTAAAGTAACCCTTTAAGGAACCCTTTACAGGGAACCCGATTCTAACTATTCTGGCCCCTATATTACTTTGTGGTTGAGGGGGCTCCAACCAGGGTCATGCCCAGCAGTTTCAAGGGGCATAACCATATCCTAATATAGGCGCCTTCATCATTAAAATAGGGTTTTGGGGGGTTGTATTACACTGTACTGAAAATAAGGAATCCCCCTAATATACGTAGAGGCCTCAGGTCAAGAATCAGAATAGGCTTTTGGTGGGTCTGTTTTGCTATATAACTCATAACCTAATATAGGGGCCTTACGCATTAAAATTGGGTTTTGGGGGATGTATACTATATTATTTGTACTTAGAACAAGCTTTACTTATGATAAGGAACCCCCCCAAAATAGTACTGGTAGTTATATAGGCCCCTATCGTAGGGCTGGTCTTGCAAGTGGGGCTGCTGGCTTGGAGATTAGGGGGATTGAAGATTGGGTATATTAGGGTCCCACAATTTCGGAAACCTTCCTTTGGAGTGTCAGGTCTGAGGGTTCAGGGCTCCTGCCGAATGACAAGCCGGGGCTCTCGACGAAGGACTGACAACAGGTAGCACCTAGATACTTAAGGACGCTCCCTCCAGCAAGGCGTACCACTCACACCATGAACCCTAAATCGAAGCCCATTAATCGCAAACCCTAAGCCCCAAAACTTAAACCTCTTTCTCGGACCCTTATATAACTTATATAGACTAGATAAATCCGTTATGGAACTCTTACAGAACTGGACTCCCTGGGAAACTCAGGCCATGCCGGCCTATAGTTCACGCTGACGACGATAATGTTCTGCTTCTGTGCCAACTTCCGCGCATCGTAGATGCCCTGCTGGTACTTGTCGCCGACCTCTGGTTCGTCTCGGACCCCAAACCCTACGAAATATCGACAGATAGATAGACAGATGTACATGCTACAGAGTATACTCTGTGTGTGTGTGTGTGATATACGTATATATGGGTAGTTGTCAAAACTATGGTCCCTTTTGAAATTACCCTAAATATTAGGTGCCGTATTATAACAGGGACCCAAAACGGTACCATAATTTTGACAACCACCATGGTTTTGGCTAGGCGCTCTGCAAGGGCTCTGGCGAGTGATGGGTGAACAGCTTCGAGTTTACCGTTGATGATATCAATCCTGCATTACCCATAATAAGGAATATACCATAATTCCCATAGTGTAGGGTCCTAAAGGTAATGCAGGATGCTTATCATCAACCGTATAGACCTTTCGAGGATTCACACATCGAAATCAGAGCCATAAGGCTTAGCGCTACACGGCTCAGGGTTTAAAGTTTGAGGGTTTAGGGCCTAGGGGCGTCCCTTTTACACTCTGAAATCAAAGAAAGGCAGGTTTCTAGAGTCCAGGTGCAGCGTGGGCATTCGGATGTCAATTCTCTGTGTTGGACCTTTGCACGTCCTGCTTCACACCTTTGAGGCTTAGGGTCTTAGAGTTTAGGGTTTCAGGCATGTCAGGTTCAGGGTGTGGCGCTAACAATTTGAGGGCTTTATGGCTTCTACGCTGTACAGCGTTAGGCAGAAAACGAGCAATCTTGAACTTCAAGGATCAGGGGACTTTGTCGTGAAGTTAGAACAAAATACTCAAAATCGGACAACCAAGGTCGCCGTAGCCCTGTGGCTTGAAGACATACTCTAAGCACAAAGCGGCTTTTTCATCGCTTTAGATCATTCACGCACAAACTCCATAAAACTCCGAACTCTGGAACCCTAGACCGTAATGATACTTTTCCTGCAGAGTTGCCCTTGAACCGGAACAGTGTTACTCGGAGTTCCTTAACCCCAAACACCCTTACAGAACACATACAGAACCTTATAAGAGCCCATAAACCCTCAACCGACTGATGCGAACCTACAGACGTCAAAAAAACGGAAGGCCTCCAGCTCTATACCCTCAGGGGGTGTCGACATTGAGTTTAAGAAAGACCTATACGGTTTGGGGTTGAGGGTCTCTGGTTTAAGGTATTGGGCGAAGGGTTTTCCGTGCAGGGTGTAGGGTTGAAAGGTTGGGGGGGCCTGAGTATAACCCCAAACCCGAAATCCCTAAATGCCTGAAGCCCAAAACTCTAAACCCAAACCAAGCCGCTAAACTCTAAACCCTGTATTCTAAACCCGAAACCCTACACTCTGCTGCACCTGGGGAAAGCCAAGGCTTTCGGGTTTAGGGTCCTTTAAGGGTTCCTATAAGGATTACTATAAGGGATCTATAAGGGTACTATAGGGGTACTACCCCCATTTCAATCCCGAAGGCCCTACACCCTCACACGCCCCCGAACCCGGAGTTCCAGAGCCAAGGCGCCAAGAAGCCACCACCTTCGATGAAAACCATCACCTGAGCTTAGGGATGAAGGGCCCCGATACAGCAAGAGTCTATAATAGGGCTACTATTAAGGTCCTATTATGTCTATACTATTCGGGATGAAGGTTTAGGGATCCGGGTTTCAGGATTCGGATTGAGGATTTCGGCCGTTAACCCTAAACCCTTGGCCCTAAATAGGAAGCTACTTGGCGGAAGGGCGTTTTTGTTGATGTGTGACGGGCTTTTGGGATGAAGGTTTAGGGATTCGGGATTCGGGTTTAGGGCTCCTTCGAGGGTTCGTTTAAGAGATTCAGAGGGGCTTAGGGGTTTAGGGATTCGGGTTTCTGGATTCGGATTGAGGACTTCGGGATTCGGGTTAGGGTTTAGGAAGCTACTTGTGGGTGTCAGTCAGGGAGGGCCGCTGCCCGACACTTAAAGCCCCACAACCTACTCTTCGGTTTAGGCTTTAGGGCTTTAGGGCTTAGGGCTGTAGGGCTGTAGGGCTGTAGGGTTTTTTTTTAAGGGTGCATTGGGACTTTCACTCTGCCAACTCCCTGCCCAATTTGGGCTTGCACTTAACAAAAGAGGCACACCCCATGTTGAAGATGCCTGAATCAAAAAGGGTACACACAGATGTACCAGCAAAGAAGGCTTTAAGGTTTAGGCTTTAGGGTTTAGGGTTTAGGCTTTCGGGTTTAGGGTTGTAGAGTGTTGGGCGACAGGTAGAGTTTGGTCAGCCCATGTCACATCCTGCGCCCGAAATGCCCAAACCTCAAACCCCAACAAACCCCTGAACTCCAAAATCCAAAGCCAAAACCCCTTTAAACCCAGTTCCTCAAACTCCTCCATAGCCCCAAAGCCCAATTCGCGCAACCGAAACCCTAAGACCCCAAATCCTACAACCCTCCACCCTGAGTTCACACCCTAACCAAAACTCTAAACCAAAACAGTGCCTATGCACCAAAACAAGAAATTGACTTCGTAGTCAAAGCAAACAAACACAAACCCTAAACCTTAAGTCCCAAACCTTAAACCCTTTAAGCCAAAGTCCCCCAAGCCCTCAACCCAAACCCGCCAACCCCCCAGAGATCCCAATACCCCCTAATTAAGGAATATACCTTAAATCATAATATGAAGGCCCCTATAATTTAAGGTATATTCCTTAATTAAGGGTTATTGGGTTCTCTGGGCCGAAACTCCTGTAAATCACTTGCCGAGAGGTGCCGGAAGCCCACTCTCCACCGCGAGGCGGAAAGGTGAAGCCGCGGAACTTCCTCCGGGTCCAGCTTCAGGTTCTCTAGTGGCCTTAAAAGGGCTTAGGGTTTAAGGTTGAGGGGTTTAGGGGTTTAGGTTTTAGGGGTTTAGTGGTTTAGGGGTTTCGGGGTTGAGGGGCTCTAGCGGCTTTATAAGGGCTCTATAGGAGTTCTGTTTGGGGGTTAAAACGGCTCTGCATGGGTTCTTTCAGGGTTCTACAAGGTCTCTATAAGAGTTGGGTAATGGTTCTATAAGGGTTCCATGCGGAGTGATGAACGGCTCTCACCAGTATTCTATGGGAGCGTAGGCTCAATCAGATTAAGAACCCCCTCAAGGGTATAGGGTCTAGGACGTAAGGTATACAGGTTGGGGCTGGGAGTTTGGGACTTAAGCTTTAAGGCTGGGGTTTTCGGGCTTAGCGCTTGGAGCTCAACGTTCAACGCTTGCGGTCTAGGAGTTTGCGGCTTACCCTATAGATCCCCTTAAAGGAACCCCTCAAACCCCAAACCCCTAAACCCTATAATACCCTATGGATCCCTTTAAAGGAACCCCTAAAACCCTAAACCCCTAAACCCTCTAATACCCTATGGAATTCCTTTAAAGGAACCCCTAAAACCCTAAACCCCCAAACCCTATAATACCCTATGGATCCCTTTACAGGAACGGTTTTTGGAGCTCGTTGTCTGAGGTTTGGAGTTTTGGGAGGCAGGCGTTGGGGCCTCGAATTGCATTGGCTGAAGTTTAAAAGAGTCTAACATAGGGGCCTTAATAATTAGAGTGGGGTTCCTTTAAAGGGATCCTTTAAGGGATACTATAAGGGATTATAGTGGTCTTGTCATCAACGGTAAGTTGTCGGGGTTCAGGGTACATAAGCCTCGTGATTTAAACCCTTGCGATACCTGTGCAAATCCCTCTAAACCAATTTCACATCGCTACAAACCCCTAGCACGTCCAAATCTCTCTAAATCCCATGTCAACCCTCCACAGCCCTATCAAACCCTACAAGTCCCTATAAACCTCACAGAAAACCCTACAAATCCCCACAAAAAAAAAACACACAGAAGGACCGAGCCTCAAGCCCTATGAATCCCCAAGAGTCCCTATAACTCCCCGAAGAGGAGCCCTCTGAGTCTAATATAGGAGCCTGGGTGCCTTTAAAAGGAACCTTTAAGGGATACTCTATAAGGCATTCTGGTAGGGTTCTATACCTGAATTATTATAGAACAGGTTTTCGGCGTATATTCTACTATAATTGTTAAGGAACCCCCCCCCCTATATGGCTAGGAGGTAACTTGCAGGCTCCGGCAAGGGGACTCAAGACGCTGCTACGGGATTCAAGGTTTAGGGCTTCAGGTTTTTTTTTTTTTTTTAAGGGTTTAGGGTTTAGGGTTTAGGGTTTTAGGACTTAGGGTTTTGGGCTTTAGAGCTTCAGGGGTTTGGGGCTCAGGGCTTAGGGTGTAGAAGGCGTTGGAAATACCCCGCTTGTGGTTTGGTGTTTGACGGGATTAGCTCCGCAACCCTTTTAAACCAGCGAATACCTTGAATGACAGACTGTCCTTATGACTTAAGCTAGAATGTAGCCCGCTGATCAATAACCGCCCCGCACCTTTCAAATACTATGATAGGTATCCCAATACAAAGAGCCCTGAAAGGGAGTGCGACTGTTCCAAAACACTATGCTGTAATGTAGGGGCCGCAATAATTACCTATACTGTTTTGGGGCTCCTTATTATAATTACAGTACGATGGGCCCCAAAACCCTATTTCAATTATTAAGGACCCTATAGTACAGGCTTCAGGGCTCTTGCTTCAAAGAGTTCTGGAAGAAAAGGTTCCTTTAACTAGGATGCCCAGTAGCCTAGGAATAAGAAGGGCTCCCTTTTTGGTATTGAGTAACTGTATAAGGAACCTAGGACTACGAAAAGGGAATAAGGGTACTACTGGGCATCCTAGTAAAGGGCTCTGTCAGGGATCGATAGTCGGGTTCCTTTAATCTCTCGTTTCAGGGATCTTTGCGGTTCCTTTGCGGGTTTGCTTCAAGGGTTCGGCGAGGTTCTACCAAGTTGCTGAGAAGGCCTCAAAAAAGTGTAAACTTCGAGTTCTATGGGGATTCCATTAATAAAGAATTGCAAAGTGTGCTCACTCAGCTACTAAGATAAAACCCATACCCGGAATCCAAAACCTTAAAACCCCGGACATGGTCCTGGTGTCTTGACCACGGCTGGAGTGTACCTTGGACTCGGATTCCCAGTTTAGGGCTCTATCCCATATAAACCTCCTTATGATGAGGCCCAATAAAGTAGGGATATCCCCATAAACTTCAAGTACTGCCCCCATACAGTAAGAGTCTATAATAAGGCTACTATTGAGCTCCAAATATATCTGTATTATGAATATTATTCAACTATTACATAGTGAGGATAAACTGCTTATGCTGATGTGGTTTTTGGGTCCCTCAGTGTTGAGGCTTCGGAAGCCCTAATCAGCCTAGGGTTTACCCAGAGAACCCAACAAACCCCTTAATTAGGGAATAGACCTTAAATTATAGGGGCCCTTAATCTTATGATTTAAGGCATATTCCTTAATTACGGGGTATTGGGATCTATGGGTAGACTTCCCCGGCAGGATGATGCGGATACTTCTCAGTTTATAAAGTTTAGGGTTAAGGGTTTAGCCCGAGTTTAGCCCCAAACATAGAAGGGGCACCCTTTTCAAAAGGACCCTCAAAGGGACCCCAATTCAAAGGACTACCCTTCCTATGCGCCAGGCTACTTGGGGGGTCGGGGGACTTAGTAAGGGGCTCCTTTAAAGGGGATGCTAAGGGTTCCTTTAAGGGGCTCTATAAGGGTAGTATAGGGTTTAGGGTTTAGGGGTCGGGGGACTTAGTAAGTAGTTAGTAAGTAGACTTATAAGTACCCTAAAAGGGACCCTGATTGGTGTTATGGTACTTATAAGTCCCTAAAATAACCAATTACTAAGTCCCCCGACCCTCCAAGCACGCGCGAGGCTAGCTGCTCAGCCACTTCGCCGTCTCACTCGGAAACCCTCATGTCAGGTAATTGTGGGAGCTTCAGAAACCCTAAACCCTTAATTAAACCCTAAACCATCAGAAACCTCCAAAAAAATAACAAACAGCAAAATCGGGACATTCAAGACCCCGAAGTAGCCCCCGCTCCGAAATCCCCTACTTCAGGATTCCTCCGAACATTAGGGCTTGGGTTTTTTGGGGTATCCTGGCTAGACTTTTGCAAAGTTTACGATTTCCTTAACCCGACCCCCAAGCCCCAAATCCCAAATCCTAAAACAGCAAACCCAGACCCAAAACATACCCCTCAAAACTGCGTTCTTGTTAGGCTATTAAAATAAAGAAACCATATATTTTACTATAGATCCCTATTATGGTAACTAAAATCAAAAAATCCTTCACAAGAACCCGGAAAACCGATTCTGATTGAAGAAATGACCATGAAGATGTCTTCGACCGTGGCACACATCCAGGGTCAAGCATGGTTCGGTGCCGAACCTGGCAGTTTTCTTACCTTTGGTTAGTAGGGAATGGAGGAATGGGGTACAATTATGACTACTATTACTACCATTCTTCCATTCCCTACTAACCAAAGGTAAACCCTAAACCCCTAAACCCTAAGCCCTATAGATCCCTTCAAGGATCCCTTTAAAGGAACCCAGTACTACCATTCTTCCATTCCCTACTAACCAAAGGTAAACCCTAAACCCCTAAACCCTAAGCCCTATAGATCCCTTCAAGGATCCCTTTAAAGGAACCCAGTACTACCATTCTTCCATTCCCTACTAACCAAAGGTAAACCCTAAACCCCTAAACCCTAAGCCCTATAGATCCCTTCAAGGATCCCTTTAAAGGAACCCAGTACTACCATTCTTCCATTCCCTACTAACCAAAGGTAAACCCTAAACCCCTAAACCCTAAGCCCTATAGATCCCTTCAAGGATCCCTTTAAAGGAACCCAGTACTACCATTCTTCCATTCCCTACTAACCAAAGGTAAACCCTAAACCCCTAAACCCTAAGCCCTATAGATCCCTTAAAGGATCCCTTTAAAGGAACCCAGTACTACCATTCTTCCATTCCCTACTAACCAAAGGTAACAGTTTTGGGAGAACAGCTTCGGGGTTCGGGGCTTTCGGGCTCTAGGGGTGTTTTTTTCTCCGATTCAGGGGCCCTTCGGGTTGATATTATATACTATATTGCAACCCATACTACATAATTAGTCTGTTATAGTATATTATATTAATATATATATATATATATATATATATATATATATGTACTAGTTACAATAGGACCCCTTGTGGAGTTTAGCGGCTGGGGTTTGGAGCTTAGGTTAGGGGCTATATTAGTAAGAATACGGTTCTATTGAGGATCGCTGTACACGTTACGGTTTTGAAGCAGGAACTGGATTAGTGAGTGTCCAACCACACAACGAGCGCACTTTTTGGTCTGAGCCCAAGACGTCTGTCGTACAGGGTGCGTTCAGATCTAACTCAAAAGACTACGCTCGCATGAGGACATGTCAACACGGCACTTCAAGACAGGGAAATTTCACACCCGTCTTATCTGTAGTGTGACGTCCGAATCATGCTCGAATTATGGCCGCTTTGGGCCAAGCCTACTTCACCGGATTATACCGGGAGCTTGCGCAGTCAACCGAGCCGAGTGCGGCGACTCAAGGCTCCAGGCTGAGTTCTTCAATCGCGAAGCGGAGTGCTTTCGGTACTCTCGGTATTCTGTGCGGCTTGCGCGGGCACATCGAGCACCTGAACGAGATTGCGATCAATGCTGTGATTGATCAAAAGCGGTTTCATACTCTTAGTCAAACAATCCGCAAGTTGTAAATGCGTCGGTATCCATCTCAACTCATCGCCGTAAGGATGGTACAAGGCGTGCGTTAGCTCGTCCTCTTCCCAGAGTCCTTGGCGGAGTCCAGACATCTCTATGGCAAGGCGTTTATCCTCGCAAGACTTTGGAATCGACGCAGTCAAGTGATCCGAAAGGGACCTGCAGTCCGTATACTGCAGGTGGAACATCGATCTCTTGGCGACTTCTTCCCAGTTCTGTGACCGGGGCAGTTTGCCGAGCAGTTCGAGTACTGCTGCTCGAATGCGGTCTCCATGCTCTATGGCATGTTGCAACGAGTAAGCCTCACACTGGAGTGTGGCGCGACAAACCCGTTTCATGGTGGACGAGGAGAACGAAATGAGGTGCATCTCATGCGTTGGCGCGTTCTTGTCCACCGCCGACTGTGCGGAAGTGAGATAGTGGAAACGGCCTCTCTGCGACTTATGGTTCGCCTCTCCTGCAAAGGAGGCATCGCAAAACGTGACAATCGCCAGCTCCCCTGTATTCCAAGGTAACTTAGCGCTGTACGTGATCGGCCTATCCGCATCTCCTAACGCCAGTGCTACTACGCGGTTTGCTTCACGGAGCGTATCCACCGTGGCTGTCGTAACACGCTGCTGCAGGGCATTCACCCTATAGGCAAGATCAGGTCTCGTGGCGCGGCCACCCAAGCCAGCGATCCTATGACGGATCTCAGCGCTGTGCGCTGGCCATTCGAGACTGGAGTCGTGCCCTTTTCAGACTTATGTATATCGATCGGGCGAATTGCACGCGTGTTGTCCCTACAGTTTATACTGATGGTCCCATCGGCGCTTTGCACATACTCGCGTCCGCAGAAACGGAACTTCTCAGTCTCTATGCGACCGATCTTAAACTTATCCAGCAGATTCTGGATAGCCGGCTCGCCTTCGGCGGTAGCAGCCCACAGGAAATCATCCACGTGGGTGCACAAGCAAGCGCACAAACGACCACCTTCTCCTGTAATATAGTACAGGGCTGACAGAATTTGCGAGGCATTTAAGCCAAATTCTCGGGCGCTCTCCTTTATACGGAGGTAAAGGTTCCGACCCGCGTCGGTCGTGCCATACACGGGTACTCGGGCAATCATATGCCCGGCTCGCTGAATCTCTGCATCGGGCACACCCTTAGGGTGTTTAGGAACCCGAAGAATGAGGAGGCGCTCAAGGGGTTTCCCTTGGAAGTATGCGTTCGTTATATCGGCTGCTTTGAGCCGCAGGGCCAACGAAACCGCCCATGAACACAGAAGGGCTATACCTTCCGGCTCGGCCGTGGGGCTGTCTGCCCTGATATCCTCCTCATTCGAGATATGCTCGAAGTTTCCACATGCGACCAAGCGTGCTTTCCACTTGGGAGTGTATGCTGGCGTCCCCTTTAGGTGTTCATTCTTATCGGTGAGGACCCATTTGGTGGGGATACACACGTGGCCAGCCTTTGTAAGCTCCTTGAACTCCTTGTCTGTGCAAGGGACCACTGCGTTGAATTCAGTGTACTTCTGCCATTCAGTTTTCATGGCAGCATCCAGCCCCAGCTGTACCTCTACAGGGGCTTTATGGTAATCCAGGAGCGAGGCCATGTAGCCAGCATCGACATTAGAGCCGATGGCGTCTTCCCCATCTGGGGTGAGAGCAAAGGCCTTGGATTCCGCCGCTCGACTATTCGAGGGCTCAGCTGCTGGCACTGTCGTGCCAATCGCAGCTGTGTGCGATGCTGCTGCCAGTCCGTCGTCTTCCTCAGGAATGTAGTGACACGGATGGGCTTCTGGCAGTCCGTTAGCACGTATGTGCTCGGCAAGTTTCGAATGCTCGAGCCATATGTGCTGGGCGATATTTCGCCGATGGCATCGCCGCCAACTGGCCTCCGAACACAACAGAAGTATTCGGTGAAAGTCATCGTGGGCCTCGCTAACTATTCTAGCGATCGTACAGAGCCCTTGGTCTGTTTGCAAATTGGCTTCAATCCCGCCCCGATTCCTGTTGCCTAACTCGGGGGCGTGACTGTACACAACCCCTTTTGCAAAGCATGTGGCAGAAAGCTCATCACAATTGTATTGTGGATGCCGAACGCTGTACGGATGACTTCTGCAATCTACGATTTCCTTAATCCCGTACTCGTGGATGCGCTCTAGGAACGTCTCGATGGGAAGATCAGAGTGACCCATGGTGTATATCCCATCGCCTTTCCTGCCAAAGGTGTTGGGCGCATCCCTATATATGGGGTAGCCTAAGTCCGACAAAAGCTGTATGTCATCTTTAGACAACTTACCGAGATCACTCACCGTGTATGCGGAGAGACTGTATCTTTCTCCTACAAACGGTGCGACCATGTGCACGTCCTTCGGGCGAAACTTAAGAACCTTGTTCTTAGTATCGTGGACGGTGCCATACATTGTCGTGTTTTGAACACGCACGGGGGTTGTACCCGTGGCTTCTTCCACCCATAGGCCGCCTCCACGATACTCGCCCACACCTATAGTGTAGTTATACGAGCCAGGAGTGTTCGCTAGGTCTCTATGGGCCTCTGCGCCTCTGTTGGTAAGCTGAACGCTACTCCACTGTGGGAGATGATGACCGGCTTGCATACTGTGATGCAAGATGTAGTGGTTGAGGTACATGGCGAACGACGGTCTCTCGCGCGTTGGTCCAGAGACACCAACAAGACCACCGTGCCGATATACTCCCACCGCGAGGGCTATGCTCCCGGGATCTCCATCATCTAGGAGCGGGCGCGTGTACGCCTCGCGTCGGTCGCGGTCATAGGCACGAAGGAGGGCCAGACACTCATCTGGGGAAAAACCCTGAGTATCTATCAGGCCTTTTGCCATGATCTCTACTTGATCAATCTCTTCCGCAACTAGTGCATCATCACGGCCTCCTACTGGCGATCGCGACCGGGCGGTTTCGCCCGTCTTATCTTTGGCGCGAAACCTTGCAGGTGTAGATGGCGCTGGCGTCGGTGTGCCGGGCATCATCGCTGGCGTCGATGGTGCTGGCATAGACACATCGTGCGCGACTGCCGGCGTAAGCGGGGCAGCTGCGGCCACTGGACGTGGCGTCGCTGGTGCTGTGACCGGATCTGCTACGCGCTCATCCTGGAACCTTTGTTCCGGCCCATGGACAATGGCTTCCGGAAGCACTGGTTCTCCTGCCAAAACGCGATGCGCTGCAACTTCAATTTCATCAGCCGGGCGCATCTTCCTAGCGTTCACAAGCACAGGGATATTCTCGTGTAATACCCAGTACGCATTCTCTGCCTCACGTCCTATGACGCGGCTAACCGTGGACCACACGACACCTGGGCTGCCAGGGACGTTATCCCGACGGTAGATAACTAAATCACCAACCTTATAGTCAGTGTCTAGAGGGGCTGCATTACGCTGTAACGCTTTGGCCACTTTGCGGGAAGTCTCTAAGTGAACAAAGGCCTTTTTGGCTTCCTGCCGTGCTCTGTGCCGAATGTAGTATACACTCGTCTCATCATACTTGGTGAACAATGTACCAAGGCTTTCGGATTCATCTAGCACGGAACCCGGCGTTCGAGGCTGCTTTCCCAACACGTGTTGTGCTGGGCTAAACCCTTGGTGCCTACTAAGCTCGTTCTT